AGTCGCTGTAAGTTGACTAATACAGCATAACACACATTTCATGTCAATTACTTATATATTATTCCAAAACGCAATCGCAATATTTAAGGAGTGGTTGTATTTTCATTGCGTGTACAGTTCACTCCAAGAGGAGAACATTAACAAAGTGCCGAAATAATAATAATAATAATAATAATATCGAGTTTATGTGCAATGTGTTGAAAAGATCAGCAATCCTGCAGAGTCCTTCGCTTGGTTGAAGTCGTCAGGCCTGAAAAGTGAAACTGAAGGCTTTCTGTTTGCTGCTCAGGACTAGTCACTTCCCACTCGAAACCGTCAATGTGTGATTTTGTATCAAAATGTAAATATGAAATGTAATTTATGTAATGAATTTAATGAGACTGTCCAACACCTTGTCAGTGGATGCCCACTTTTGGCACAAACACAGAATCTTAAGCGACATGATAGAGTGGCTCGATTCTTTTATTACCGTCTTCGCAATGCTTCTGATTTTGACACAGAGGTCCATCCATGGTACGACCCAGAATATGTAGAGGGCGTCATGGAAAATATATAAATACAAATTTCTTTGGAATAGGCACGTACACAGCCCTAGACGTATCCAGGCCATCAAACTTGATCTTGTCCTTTTTGATAATTCCAGTGAAATAATTTATGTTATTTGACGCTAATGTGATTGACAAGATTGAGGAAAAACATGGCAAATATGCGGACATCGCTTTCGAAATGTCACGCTTGCATCCCATGTACCAAGTTGTCCGACTCCCCATTGTTCTCGGTGCCCTGTGTTTTGTACCTCCCAATCTGTTGACTGGCATTGGGAGAGTACCCGGGTTTGCTACCAGGAATACAGCAATTCTGACAATCTGGGTAATGCAGAAGGCTGCAGTGTTGGGAGTCTTCACATTCTCCGAAAAGTTCTGGGTGGGTTTGACTAGGCAGCGTGGGCTGCGTGTAGAGGGTGCAAGGGCCCTGAGCTGATGATGAGCCTAACCAGCCCGACTGTGCCAGGTGGGTTCGACTAGGCAGCGCTTCCTGGGAGAAATCCCATTCGCTGTCTGGGCTGCGTGTAGAGGGGGCAAGGGCCCTGAGCTGATGGTGAGACTGTGCCAGGATCACACAAATCCTCCTTGCAGCATTTGTTTTATTATAATACGTATATGATAATAATAATCCTTCATATTCGTGTATGGTGAAAGCGCGAAACCATTGTCACCCATGTCCGTGCATCAGTGTGAAATCGATGGGGAGTGTACAACCCAAGCAGAATATCAAGAGCTTGATGGTACACAGTCACATTACCATCTAATCCTAGTGTGTACAAATATCCCCCACCCACTTATAACAGAGGAAAACAGAACGCATTTTGAGGTTTCGGTGTGCACCTGGGTGTACAATCGGGTGGAGAATTGCAGCCATTTCGAGGAATAAAATGACTTAGTATGACTTTATATAAACTATAAACATTCATGTAATTACAGCAACAAGGTGTCTCTAATCATCGTATGTCAAAACAGACATAATACTTATAGATTCCTTGGTCAACTTTGCGATACAGTTATGCTTTCGAGAACACTGACTCAAGGCATTATATTCAACGTACATTCAGCTTCTCTTGTGAGTAGATTCGTTTGGTTTAAAACGATATTAACGAAACAATCAAGTCAAACATCCTTGTATTGGCTAGAACACACATGTTCAGGATCCCTTTGCTCTACATTTGAGGCTTAGGCTTCAGGTACATCAATGATCTTAAAGCGTCACTGATTTACTCGCCTGAACTAGAAATAAAGAAACGAGTGAATCAGCCTCATCTGTTTCATATTTAGACCTGTAACAAAATACTAATATTAATTATTAAAAAATCTGGATGACAAGAGGGATGACTTCAACTGTAAAATAGTCTACCTTCACTTTTTGTCGAGCAATATTTCAGCAATATTTACCTTTAGAGGTACAATCGAACATGTTCAGTCTCCGAAAATTTCAACGAGCTTCATATGATTCTAGTTTAAAACATTCAAGGTTACAACATTCACGTGTCTGGAAGTGTTACGGTAGACAAATTCGACGCATCAGTGACAGGAAAGAAGGCCGACACAATTCTCTATTTTTACTTGTACCATATGTTCCCATGTTTTCCTTGATGAACATTTGACTTGGCTTTGCATGTGTTTGTGACGGGTGTCACCTTTTCGCGAAAACCTTGTATCATCACTATTTAATAGTGATTCATAAACATATGCTTATGATCGGAATCGTACAATTTTAGCAGAGATTTCTTATGATTATGGAAACTGTTTTGTCGCTTTATTTTTACATCAGAGCATCTCAGATTACAAATATTTCCAAAGTCTGTACAATAAATTGTTCTAAATTAAATTACCTCTAAATATAATTATTTTAAATGTTTCGTCACGACATGGTTGAAATATTGCAGATGTGACATTAAATTTCACTCACTCACTAACTAATCATTTATTATGACAGAAACAATGTGATATTCATATGTTCTTGTTGACATGTCTCATCGTACTGCTATTTTTCTGTCAGGATTTGGTTTTCAGCACACGACATAATATTCAATAACTATTTACCAAGCAAAAATTTTTGATATTATGATCAAATTATCGGAAACATTTAATGTGACATCATCTATTACAAAAGCTTTGAAAACAACATAGGCTATTGAGTGAGTGAGTATGGTTTTACGCCGCTTTCAACAATAGTCCAGCAATATCACGGCGGGGGACACCAGAAATGGGCCCCACATATTGTACCCATGTAGGGAATCGAACCCGGGTCTTCGGCGTGACGAGCGAACGCTTTAACCACCAGGCTACAAATTATTGACACATTAAGCTGAAGAATACCAAGTGTAAAACCGAAAGCGTATGTGCGACTGACCAAACGTCTGATAAATATTTTAGTAATTTAACGAATATGACTTTGACAACGACGCATTTCACCATACTTTATGGACAGTTCATCAATATGTGGATCAGGCGTCTTAGGCCCAGCAATAAGCTGTGCAGATCTAGAGTTGCGTCCCTTGGGCGCGCCAGTAACCTATGATCGTACGTTAAAATCCCAGAGTCGCCCTGATTATGTTTCCAGTTTTGTCAGCACCATGTCCTTGATCGTGGGTTTCACCAAAGTGCTATCGTCTGATTCTATTCTTCTAAGAGGATTCAACATGAATAGGAGAAAGGTGTGTACTTTTCATTTTCACGTCACATTTTGGCTATGGTTGATATCTTGAAACATGGTGTATTGATATTAGTTTTCATGTGATGGCATTAAAATTCGTATGCCTTAAAAATCGATATGTATTACCTGGTTTGTTCCACGTTTGACTACGTTTCTAGTCTGCACCGGAACCCACGTCTACACTATCTTTGCACAAATGTAAAATAATTCCATAAAAATATATTCATATCCATATATTAATAAGTTGTCAATAAATTACGACTGGCGCGTTAATAAATTATGCTCAACGCTAAGTGAATCGAGATTTTTTTAAAATTTATTCACCTATTTTGTTTATTGTCAAGAACTAAATTAATAATATATGCAGGCATATATAAAGAGGGCTTCTCGCTGTGGCGGCAGCTATTGTTTATGATATTTAACCAGTGGAGTGTGGTAATATCTGAAACAACAGCTTACGGCATAGCGAAAACCCACCTTTACGTACCGTCAACCTAACTGAATTTATGCCTGATTCGACATTACAAATGGCAGGCATATATAAAGAGGGCTTCTCGCTGTGGCGGCAGCTATTGTTTATGATATTTAACCAGTGGAGTGTGGTAATATCTGAAACAACAGCTTACGGCATAGCGAAAACCCACCTTTACGTACCGTCAACCTAACTGAATTTATGCCTGATTCGACATTAAGGCAACGGTCAGTCCACACCTGGTTATCACCAGTTGAGTGTTTGTGAGGTTACTCAGTATCTGGAAGAGTATTTCAGTTATATCAGTTGGTACAAGAGCAGAACCGTTCAATTATATATTTTGCATATCAGATCAATGGGGAATATCATCCAAAGATGGCGCATGTCGTTTTGTTTACTCATAAGCACGGCTATGATGTTGACAATGATACTAATAGTATCAGAATGAATTTGAGATTCAAATAACTGATCAGCGGATCTTTGCCCGACGATGGGCGTGTTAGGATAAGCTCTCTGGAGCGTTGTGTATACATAACAGAACCCTTAACGTACACCTTCAACAGTCAAAACACCGACATCCATCAGTAATTCGATAAATCTAATTTGAAATACAAACATGTGTTGTAAAGTGGTCACAGAACGACATGACACCAAACACATCACTGACAAACGACAACTTTATACAAGGTACTGTCGAACACCGCTACTATCGCTGTAGGTAAGGGTTCTGTTCACGAAGCATTATACGTCTTTCAGAGGTTATAAAACGTATGTATGTATGTATGTATGTGTGTGTGTGTGTGTGTATGTATGTATGTATGTATGTATGTATGTATGTATATGGGAATGAGTTGTGAAACAGACAGACCTCTTGTTAAGTTATCTGCAGGATTTTCTGCAGATGGTACGTGTCGCCATTGAGATGGATTTGGTTACCTTCTGGTCAGATAGTAGGAATGTCTTGTGTTGGATAAGAAACAATAGTCGTACTTTCAAACCGTTTGTTGCCAACAGAGTTGGAGAAATACACAGCACTACAAATCCACTCATACACAATGAGTTATGGTGGTCTGGTCCTACGTTTTTGCTCAGAGATGAAACTGAATGGCCATCTGATCAAGCATTTTCCCTTGACATGATCAATGATGATGAAAGAAGAACAAGCAATAAGCAGGTTGCTCTAGTTTCAATACAGAAACCTGACCTTGAGACGTGGAGACTTGACCCTTCCAGATTCTCCAGCTGGAGAAAATTGACACGTGTGAATGCTTGGATTTTCAGATTCTTGCATAACTGTTCCATGTCAGATGATTACAAAATGAAAGGTGAACTGACGGTAGAGGAAATAGCAGATTCTGAGCACAGAATCATTGCCGATGCACAGGCGGAAGTATTTGCAATTGAATATGCAACTTTGTTGTCAGGTAAGATGTTGGCTTCCAGTTCCAAACTCCTTACACTTCAGCCACATCTAGATGAAAATGGGGTCATGAGATTGAGTGGACGCTTAGGCGATGCTGAATGTTTGCCACTTGGAGCGCGATTTCCCATAATTCTACCTCGTAGAAGTTGGGTGACAAAGCTCATCATAAAACAGTATCACGAAGATGGTAAACATGTTCTGGGCACAAACCAAACACTGGCTGCAGTGTCATCAAAATACTGGATTATCTCAGCACGAGAAGCAATACGTGAATGGGAGAAAGAATGTGCTCGATGTCATAGGGACAAAGCAAAACCTGCCTATCCAATGATGGCTCCGTTACCAAAAATGAGACTTCGAACATCCTTCCGTGCATTCAGCCAGGCTGCTGTTGACTATGCTGGACCTTTCATAACAGTCCAAGGCAGAGGAAAATCACGTCAGAAACGTTATTTGTGTCTATTCACCTGTTTGACTACAAGAGCTGTTCACCTAGAGATGGCATACAGCTTGGACACCAGCGCATTCCTAAATGCGTTTTACCGAATGGTAAATCGAAGAGGTCTACCACAAGATGTCATATCTGACAATGGAACAAACTTCGTTGGTGCCGTCAAAGAACTCAAGGAACTTCTTCACATGCTGGATCAAGATGCTGTTCGGCGTTCCATGGCCAATCGAGGAGTGAAATGGCACTTCAACCCTCCATACTCGCCGCATTTTGGAGGCGTATTCGAGACGATGATAAAATCGGCTAAGCGTGCTATCTTCGCTATCCTGGGGAATGGTGACGTCACAGATGAGGAATTGGAAACGGGATTCACCGGAGCTGAAGCGCTGATCAACTCGCGCCCTCTGACATATCAGTCGACTCATATACCTCCCTTGGAGGACTTGTTCTTGAAGTAAAGTTGTTAAAGTAAACAAAGTGAAGACCTAATATGGGTAATTTCATTCCACTTTTTAAATGAATTCTAATTAACAGAAGTTGAACATACTTTGTACAGCTTGGAGATTCTTACTCCGTTCTGTTAAGGTCAGGTTGTCATACACCTCGGTCGAATGGAGAAGGAAAATACCTGAAAAGTACCACCCATTTAACCTGATGGCAGGAGTGAGCAATCTCATTCAAATCAGATCTTAGTTCTCGCAATCGCTAAACAAAGATCTGAAGACATCCGATTAGGGGTCACGTCAGAACAACCTTTCATCGGACCAATCGCTTACCAGATTATGAAAGTGACAGTCGGAATGTGATTTCGAATCATGCAAGCTCGAAAACTTTAACACGGGGTATTCCGAACGAGAGTTACGGGTTTAACGACTGAATCCATACAATCTAGACCATCTATTAGCCATGCCAGAATGTTCTTTTGTTCAAGTTTCAAACTTGTAATCGAGAATTTGTCAAGATATGTTTCGAAACGTAGTCGCCAATTAGAAATTTGTGCCGTAAAGCTGGAGAAAGCTGCCTTCTGATTGGTCATTCCATTGGTCGGTCAAAGTTCGCGCAAGGTCGGTCTGACGTGATCCGTAATGGGACGTCATCAGATCTTTGTTTAGCGGTAGCAAGAACTAAGATCTGACTTTAATGAGATTGCAGGAGTGAGTGAATTGAGTTTAACACCACCTTGAAGAGTATTTCAGATACATGACGGCTTGTCAGTTAATGGTGAGAGGAAGTGATGCCGGTGATGATGAGTTCGTATGATAATGATGATAAATATCGAAGGAATTCGCTGGGACCAGAAGACGAGTTCAAGACAACCTTAAACTCGACACATCCAAGTTCGACACAAAGAGGTTCGACTGTAGTATAGTTTCGATAAACATGGTTTATGACGCGGGTATATAATGTTAAAGAAGACGCGATTTTTACACTCAAAGTTGTAAGGCGCAAAAATATATAGTTGAATGTGGTGTTTTGCTTTGTGAAAGGTTAGTGTTTTACATAGTGATATCCCCGTTTTTCAAGTGTGATTTTATCTTCCAGTTACATGTCTTGAATCAATTATGTCCGTTCGGAGGCTCCTCCAATTACTCAGAAGGTAACGGGTGGCCCAGTACTCTAATGCGCCGCCAATCCAAGAGTCGGCCCTGTCAGCACCAATCCTGCTCGGTAAGTGGTAAACATCTAAGACCTGCATCACTTCGGCTGACACGCCGTGGTATAACACCGGCAAAGGGTAGGATGGTTTTCAATGTCTTTTTCTTTTAATCCGTTGCTCCTTTCTGACCTCTCCAAGGTGCCATGACCAACATCTTTATGATTTATTAAAAACTGCTTTGTAAATATCTAGGAAAATAACTGAAATACTTACAATGCAAACCTGTTTTGCACATAGGCAATATAGATCCACGTTCTATATGTTCGGGGCCATTGAGCAGATCAAATATCGTTAATATTTCCCGCACTTTGGTCATGAAATAAATGTAATTTAATTGGATAAACGTTTGCATATTCGTTAATATACCAAATGTAGTCCAACGGAAACAATTGTCTTAATGAAACTAATCTACACCGACGCGTTAAAAAGAGTAACCATTTTTGATTAAATATCCATCACTACAATTGTAGAAAGGTTTAATATTTTGCAGTTATGGTTGAAAACTCTGATTCATATGGTTATTAAAATCGCTGTTATTAATTAGATAATATTAGGTGTGCTCTATTAATCGTATTTGTGGGGAATATTAATTCCATGTACAGAACTTTTATTTTTAATTAAATGTGTATCAAAATGTGTATCAAAGTGCTATCGTCTTCCAGAACATATGCGTGGTAATTTTCACTGTTGGAGGATAAGGCTTTTCTAAAAGTTGTTATTGCAAATAATCATGTCAGTTAAAGATATTCTCCAAATGTTCATTTTGGTAGTACATAACTTATACAACGTAAGTATACATTTAGTACCTGTCTGTTTATGATAAAATATTCATATTATCAATGAATCTTCCTTTGACACAATTTAGAAGTTGGGTTACTGCGATACTATACACAATTCATCATGTTTTACTTCAGTAAAAAATGTTCCGCAGTACCGAATCAGAGAAAAAAGAACTGCCGACAAAGCAATTTACCTGTCATTATGGCGTCTTAAAAAGTCAAACAACAAAATCAAACAACAGTTTTGCAATTACAGGGTTTCATCATCGTCATCCTGGGCCCGAGCTTGCCAGAACTCCAATGCCAACTGCGGGTAGACCTGGACACAGCCAGCTACCTCTTCCTCGCCTTTACTCTGGGAAGCATCCCTGCCGTTGTGCTATCTGGCTATCTGCTGCAGAGATTCAGTGTGTACCTCCTTCAGACAATCACCCTCATCGTGATGAGTACAATCGTAATCTTCATCCCAATCTCCGAGACCATCTATCTTACGTTTTGCCTAGTTGCACTTCTTGGAGCTGCAGCGGGGTTTGGTTTGTGTGGTATGTAGCACTTCATTTTGACATAACATGTATTATAATGTGCGTGCGTGCATGCGTGCGTGCGTGTGTCTGCTTGTTCTAGTCCGGACTACCGTACTTAAACATTAATAGTTACTGTATACTGTCTCCGAGCCGACAAGTCTTTGTTTTATCCCCTCAATGCCGAGCGCCAGGCAGGGTGAGAGCAAGTGCCCTTTATTTTTGGCATGGCGCGGCCGGTGATCGAACCACTGACCTTCCGCTCTCCTGTTGGAATTCCTCATGGAATAAGTATGGACGATAAGAATCTGACGTAGCGAGTAACGTATTTATTTCTATAATTATACAAAGCATTACAAAATAGGCCATTACCATCAATTACATACATTTTAGTCCGTAGTCTTATCGAGATATTTATATTTTTCAGTTATTCTCCATTCGACACATATACGATGGCCGAATTCTCAACGAGTGATTCACCTAATATTCACTTCTGCAGCGGTAGGGTCAGTGATATGTCCAATACTGCTCAAACCATTTTTAAGTGTCGTCACTGAGGACAAAGAGAACCAATCACATGTAAGAAACAACACGAGACATGTGAAGAGCAGAACACTTCATCTTCCTGTTGTGCATGGTAACCACAGCATCATTAATAATGGGTCAAGTGAACAAGATTGCAGTAACTTTTCAACAGGACTCTTTTACCCATATGCCTTAATAGCAACATTAGGCCTGCCTGCCTTCATGCAGATGTATTTCTATTTTAAAAATAAGCAGACAAAGGACACAAATCCTTATGAAAACTTTGACAATAATAAAGATCAAATGAGTCCAAAACCAGGAAAGCTATATTTGCTATTAATGGCATTGTTTTTCTTCCACATTCAAGGTCTTTCCATCGGGTTTTCTTCTCTCCTTACAACCTTTGGCATTGATAGTTCTCAAAACCTGAGCATAGGAACAATGGCTTTGATCACGTCAGTATTTTGGTTTGTGTTCACAACAGGCCGTCTACTTCCAGCCTTCATGCCAAGGTGCATAGGTCAGACCCTTATAATTAATGTATGCATCATTGGTAACTGTATCGGGGCCATAACTCTTTTCTTCAGCGTTCCTGGTAATGGGACGTTGTTATGGATATCGTGTGTTATTCTTGGTTTATTCAACGGTCCCTTAATCGGATCGGGCATGGCATGGTCAAACCAAACCATATCTGTAACGCCCAATATACGAGCTTTGTATGTTCTCTTTATGGCACTGGGGTTCATTATTTCCTACATCTTTGGGTTGCTGATGAACAAGTTTGGGAGTGAAGCATTCATTTACGTTACCATAAGTGTTATTGTTTCTTTGTCATTGATTTACCTGGTCATACACCTGTACATTACAGTACAGAACAGGGTAACGATACATCCATGATTGATATGCAAACGGGGAGTGGTATACCATTTCATGAATTGTGTCAAGTCCCGATACGACCTTGACCTGGAGATATTACTCTGTAAACAGCTTAAAGTAGAAACAATGGCGTTGGTTGTGTGAAGGCACCATAAAGACATTGGTTACTCAAAACAACCTGTTTTGGTTAAACGTATTGTGATACTCTCGAGAAAGTATGAAACATAACTCCGCCAACATCTGCGTTGTTGTAGACGAGATGTAGAGCTTCTTGTGTGAATCTCAAAAACTATCGCCAATGATACTTTAATGGTACCGTGCCACCATCTTCGATCTTTTTCATTTTTTTAATTATTCACTTTCCCGCAAGATTCGCTTACCAAGCCGGTCCAACCTTAAACGAAAATTGCATATGGTTTGTGCCACGCGAGCAGTGTTGTTATTTAACACTCTTGATCAGTCAACTAATGCAGCCTTCGCATATCCAGTGGACAGCGTATTTGTTCTTCTGAACAAATGTCATGTCATGTCATGTCATGTCATGTCATGTCATGTCATGCAAAATGAGTTCACAGAAACTGTGATATATCAAGGCCGCCCAAGGTCAGCTCAGTATTTTCATATTAAACCACTCGAAACCATATCTGAAACGATGCAGGGAATTAGCTGACTATTGAAATTGGTATTTCAAATTTTATCGTTGATGTGTGACTTGTTAAAGTGTTCAAAATCATTGAATAATTAATATCTACATCCGGTTTGCTTTGAAAATGATCAAAGGACGATAATGCATAATGTATGAATTTTTTAGTGTCGACAATAACACATATAGAACGCTCTGTGTGCTCATAAAATAATTCATTTTGAATTTCAATTTGTTTGTTTTTTTTTGTTTCCAGCAGCGTTGAATATCATTGATCACACTGGAGAGAGGTGCATATCGCCCTGTTACCTCTATATTAACTTGAATGCGCTACCAAGCACGGGAAGGCTTTCACCCGTGTGCGCATTTAAAGGTTATTTGTTTCAAATGAGGCTTCGTGATATCCCGGATCTGTCACATTTCCACAGCTGCCAGATACAAAAGACAAACTTATTTG